GGGAGAAGATTCGACTTCTGAGTGGCCTGTGCTGGAGGAATAGGACTCATAATTGTTAACAATTGTATGCAAATCCGTCATCCAATTTAAGTTAGAAAAGTCGAAGGCTGGTGATGAAAGCACAGTCAGCCGAGCAGGAGTTGAGCACTAAAAAAATGAGTTTGAGACAATCACAGAATAAGCTAGCAAAAGGGAGCAGAACAAAGAGCAGTGCGCCAGAGAAATACCCACGGATGGATTATCAGACGCTGGGTCTACCGAAACACTCATCTCAGAGGAAGCATAAAAATGCTAACAGCTCTGCTTGCTATTGTCACCCTGGATCCTTTAAAGTCATATGAGAAAAAAAACAAAGCATTGCAAGGCTAAAGAGGGCTCCAAACATTCCTTTTAAGGACCAGATCTAGGAAGCAGAAATATTGACTGAATGCTGCTTCGGACTTGCTTTTCCCTAACTAAGAGCCATTGCTGCCCCATCTCTCTTTGTCCAACAAACAGGATAATGATGCTAAAAACATCTTTCATAGAGAGCAGTTGGGGGAATAAAGCCAGCTACAAGTCAACCCCCACCTGCTTGTAGTGTCACCTTAGAAAGACTCTCTCTTATCTCAGCCGTTTCCCTGTAATGAAAGGAGCCAGCATTTGTATAGAATTAAGAAACAAGAATCTACCACAATCACTATACTCAATATCCTACCCTCAAGGACAGAAATGACCAGCCAGGGCATGGTGCACCAAGGCAAGCAGGCAGCATAGGGTGAATTACCACAGGTGAGATATCCATCTGGAAAAACAAGGAACTAACTCGAACAACTCATCCAGCTCTGACGTCCTTACCTCCACGCAGCAATGGCTTATCACCTTGAGTTCAAATGAGGAAACGAGACTCAGAGAGGGGTCTCGCAAGTTCATACCTAGAAAACCCAGGAATGCACAACTCCAAAGCCATCACTCCTCCCTCTCACGCAGAATGTTATGAATAACAGAACTCTCACCATTCTCCACCAACAAATCATCTCGCCCACACATGCTGAACCTTACTGTTACCCATCACCTGCATGCTCTCTCCTCCATGGCTCCACAGGGGAAGGCAAGTAGAGCAGAGCGGAGGTAGCACAGGTCTTTTATGAGCTCAAATATACATTCGTTATATACACAGGGAAAAAGACAAGCTGACCAAAAGTCCTCTCCATACATCACTCCCACTGCCACCTCTGCCCAGCCCCAGGTCTGGCTTGACCCAGGGCCATCTGTCGTCTGTTATCTTCACTGCAGCCCGTGGTGGAGAAGGAAACAGGACGAGAAAGGACGATAAGCGGCAAGGAGAGCGGGTGAAAAAATAATTATAATACAAATAAACAGGCGATAAAGGGCTGGAGCAGCGAGATTTGATGGCGAAGGACTCAGGCATCCGCCCAGCCCGGTCTGATGGTCAATCTCGCCTCAGAAGGCATCTTGGCTCAATAGGTCTGGGAGCACTCTCCCCAGGCCATGCTGGCCCTGCCCCGAGAGTGTTGGCCAATATTCTTAAAGTGCAGTCTCATTGAGGGTCAGTAAAGATGAAGGGGGGCATGCAATATGGTAGAGGCATGCCTCATTCCCACTGGCTCCCAAACCGTCTGGACTTTGATCAGGAGATAAAACATGCAGGGCGAGCAAGTTCCTTGAACCAAAGAGGTCTGGGCTGGGCCACTGGAGAGAGAGCATTAAGACTGGCTCGAGAGAAGCCTGCCCCATGGCCAACACAACGGTCCACCCCGCCAAGTGCATTGACAGTCAGTGTCCCCATCGACAGAGACATGAGTGTGCAGCTTGAGGTCAGAGAGAGGGGGGACCAATGAGTTGGCCACACCTACAAGCGTCTCCTAGCCCACCGGCAGAGGAGCCTAGGGAAGCCTTCACCCATCCAGCTCTGACCCGCTTCTCCACCACAGAGTTAAGGACTCACCGGCCGGAGGTTCGAGGCCACAGAGCTAACCCCAGGAAGGCAGGGCGAGGAAGACAGGAAAAAGAGAAAGGACTGAAAGCCTCACACCCAGCCACTGGAGACCCTGATCCAGCGATTCAGTGGCAAGGACTGAATCAGAAGGAAACCCATAACCAGGTTTAAGAAGGCCAAGAAGGAGGAAGTGGGGGAGGACATTGCTATGTATATATAGTGAAACTGAGGAACAGAGAGGGTCAAGTACTCTCCTGGATCCCAGACGTCTGTTCCCAGCTCCTCTCTACATCATCAGACCAGTGCTGAGCCGGCTTTTTGCTTTGGGTTCGCATGGGTGCGTGCCAGGGGGCCCAGAGGCGGCAGCGGCCGTTGGGAGAGGTGGGTGAAGGGTGATGGCGGGTGTTGGGTGAGGTGGGCAGGTTAGGTGGGATGGTGATGTGTGAAATGTGATGGGGGTGGGGTGAGAGAGCCTCCGGGCCGGATCCAGGCGCAGCGCTGCGCTGGCACATTCGTGTGGACTAAAAGAATGCTTAGCCTGTTGGGGGAGGGTGCTGGCAGACGTACAGGGCAATGGGACGGGTTGTGAGGGGGTGCATGTGACAACGAGGGTGTCTCCAGCCCCCGCCTGGGGCCTGCTCGGCCAAGGTTAGTGTGGACCGGACTGCATGCATGAAGGGCGATGTGGCCACAGGTGGGGCTGGCGGAGTGTAATAGCCCAGCGGCAGGAGGGCGCTAGGGTGGGGTAAGGGGTGCTGGAGGGAGGTAGGGCGCGGGGAGGGCCTGGTCCTTGGCATACTGGCATGCGGCTGGAAGCTTGGACTGCCGTAGGCAGCACCCCCAAGGCACCGTGGCATTTGACCGTACGGGTGGTGTGGTGGTGGTGGTGTGGTGGAAGAAGCAATGAAGAGGAGGAGAGCTGCCTGTTTGCGTGGTGGCATCTGGAAGGGCCCCTTGCCCACGCTTGCTTCCAATAGGAGCCTCCAGGAAGAGTAGGAGTTTGGAGATGGCCTCTGCTCTTGTACTCCTCTGGCGCGGTGGGAGCGGAGTGCATCCTCTGGTGAGGCGTGACTGCTAATTAACAGACCCTGAAGGGGGGAGGGGGTAAGTCGGTTGGTCCCTAGACATCTAACCCCAACCTAACTCCACCCTGTCCCTGAGGGCTGAGGCTGGTGGAGACAGGAGACCCCAGTCATAATTGAAACCAAGTCACAGTCCTGTGCTTGTACATGGACTCCAGCTTGAAAGGCTTTCGCTGTCCCAACCCATTATCTCAAGCTGAGCCTCAGCTAGGAGAGGAAAGAAGTAGCAGTACCTTCTCCTCATCACCCATGATTTGCAGGCAGGGAAACGTTAGGCCAGAGAGGCAGAGCGACTGCTGAGGGTCAAAGAGCAGGACTTGGAGGTAAAGCTTCTTGTGGCACTCCAAGCGAATCCCTACTCAGATCAGCCCTGAGGTTGGAGAGGGGGCACGGGAGAGGGAGACAGACTGAGAGACAGGCAAATGAGACAGACGAGTGAGGACGATGAGAGAGTGGTGCTGGGAGAGGCATGCCGCATGGTTCCAGCGGGAAGAGGAAGGAGCAACGGTCCCTCCTCTCTGGGGCTCCATGGCCAGGCAGGTCATGAGAGGATGAGTGGGGCAAGAGGGGCACTATACTTCGATGTGCTGCTCCGCGATCCCGCTGTTAGCCGCCCCGCTTCCCTGCACCACAAGCAAGGACCCAGCGTCAGGCAGCCAACCTTCTTCCACCCTGATGGGCTCCAGAGCTGGTACCGGCTAGGCCCTCCCGGGATAGGACACCCCTTATCCCTTTTACCATTGAAAGGAGGGGGAGGAGGGTAGAAGTGGAGAAGGAGAGGAGAGAGATAAATGGAGAAGGAGGGCGTGTACAGGAGAGACAAAGAGGGAGCAGAGGAGGTAGGGGAGCAGCGAGAGAGAGGCCAGGACTGTGGCCCCCACTTCACGACGCCCTGGCCCCAGTGCTGGGCTCCATCTGATTTGACTGGCTCCAGGCCCTGCAGCACACGCGCCAGGGCTCTGGGTGAAAGGCAGGTGTGTGCGTGTGCGGCAGTGAAAAGGCTGGCGGCCAGTGACAGGAGGCAAGAAGACACCTGGCCCCTCGTTCTCCAACCAGGGCAGGGGCCCAGAAGACCTACCTGCATCCGAGAGGTCTCGCAGGGACTGCTGAGTGCGCCCGTTTGAGCCCATCGCCTGCACATACAGTACTTCCAGGCTACTGCGGCCAGCGTCCATTCACTGAATCCTTGGCCCTCCGGGCTGTGAGGCTTAGGCCGCATCATACCTTTCTGCTTCTCAGCTCGCTGGTGGCAGTGGGGGACAGGGAGCAAAGGTCAGGACAGGAATGATAGTCCACCTGATTTACCTCAGTGCTCATGGGCCTTCCTCTTTCTTCTCCCCCCTATCCCTGGGCCTTCCTGTTGTACCCACACTGTTTCCTCCAAACTGCAGCTTCATCTCCAAAGCTCGTCAGTCCCAACCCCTGTCTCACACCTCTGTCCCTACTCGCTTTCCCTTCATCCTCTCATCTGCTTCCTGCTCTTTCTCTTCTTTTTGCCCTCTCCTTCCTCTCCTTCTCCCTCCTTGCTGTCGGTCTCCCAAAGACCCTGCCTTTCAAAAATGAGCTTACAGCAGATGGTTCAGATAAGAACAGGATGGCCCTTACAGTCCATGGCAAAGGGCAATCTTTCCAGAGTTCACTCTGTTCTCAGATACCTTGCTCCAGAGCGAGGGACTCTAGCAGGGCGAGCAGGAAAGTGACAGTAGTCTAATCCTCTACACACACCAGTCAGTATGCTGGCGCTACACACACTTGTCTCTCTCAGTCCTCCAAGAATTCTGAGGTAAGTGTTAGCATCCACATTGCACAGAGGAAGAAACTGAGAATCCGAGAGGTCTTAGAGCTTCCAGGGTCATATCGCTGGAAATGGTGGAGCTGACATTCTGGAAGCAGGTCGCCTGATTCCAGAAGCCTGGCTCTCCTGGCTTTACACCCCAACTCCCATGGAGGTCATGGAAACACTTGTCTATTGCCTCCCTATCTCATCTTGGTCTGCTAATCTCTCTCTGGATTTTCCCAAGGTCTCAGGACATCTGATGAACTGCAATTTCTGACCCGTCTTGCTGAGGAGTAGAATAGACCTGGAACTGTGAAGGCCTCACCAAGGAGCTGTCCGCCCGCTCTGTCTCTCTCTCTCTCTCTTCTGTCTGCCTGCCTCTTTCTCCTTACACCATGTTACTTACTGTGACTGCTTAGCCTGGAGAAGAGAAAACTGGAGGGCATCGGGAGGAATGAGATATAATCACTATTTTCATTACGTATATAGATCAAAATGGCATGGTGTGCTCCTGGGGGACTGGGAGATTGGCACTGGGACTACAGCTCAGGAAATGGATGTGGGAGAGGAGAGGAGAGAGAGGAGAGAGAGGAGAGAGAGGAGAGGAGAGGAGAGAGAGAGAGGAGAGGAGAGGAGGGAGGAGAGAGGTGGGAAGGGGATAAGGAGGAGAGGAGAGGAGAGGAGAGGAGAGGAGAGGAGAGGAGAGGGTGGGATGGGGAATAATGTTTGTTGAACACGTAGCATGTAGCAGGACACTTTGGCTGCCTTGTCTCATTTCATCTCCACGACTCTGTGAAGATTTCATTATCCTAACTTCGTATTGGAAGAAACTGGGGCTCAGAGGATTAGGTGACTTGCTCCAGTTTACCCAGATAATAAGTAGCATACCTGGGATTGAAAACTAGAGTCCTACTTCTAAAACCCTGATTCTTCTCCTTGCTGCCTTTCACTAGAAGGAAGAGTTGGCTCATAATTAGGGCTTGGGATAATAATCTGAGGGCAGGAGGTAATGAGCCCCTTGTCACTGAAGGTATTCAAGCAGAGGCTGAAGGGTTCCTGGAATGAGAGTAGGAGGGTTGGATAAGCTAACCCTCAACTGTGAGAGTGTCAGAGGACAGGATTCTTGGTTTCTGCAGGACACTGTGTGAGGAAAGGGGGCAGGAGACGTACATGGCTGGGCTACTCACACTCCACACGGTACTTCTCCATCTCCTGCACCTCCGCGATGGACTCGCGCAGGTCGGACGTGAAGCGCAGCCTGTCCTGGAGGCTAGGGGCATTGAAGATGATGAGGACCTTTCGCTCCCCACCAGGTACTGCGGACAGCAACTTGATCCCAAACTGGTAATCTGTGGGGAAAGGGAGGGGAGAGGGAAGGTTGGGCACCTCTGTCGGGATTGACGAAAGGCGGCTCATCCGTGAAACAATTTTTCTAATATCCAGTCATGACATTACAACAACTCTCCTCTGCTTGGGCATCTTCATTGGCTCCCCTTTGCCCCAAAGCCCCCAAACTCCTGGTAGCCATGGCCCTGTTTATTCCTGTACTCCAGGATGCAAAGGCAAACCCAGCAGTGTAGAATTGCTCTCTGAAATCCCTTTCCTTCACACCGCTGCCTCAGCTCACATTGCTTCTCTGCCCAGTTACCACCCAACAGAGCTCCTCCTGGTTCAGTCCTTCGGAACACAGCATGAGTGCCTTCTTTTTGGCTCACCAGAGAACACACACACTATGGTTCTCTGCAAGACCATGAGCTCCCCAGGGGCTAGACCCAAGTCATGCTCCACTCTGGCCTGCCCTTCATCCTGGGATCAAGTAGGTACTTTGGACACCTTAGCCCAGTCATAAAGGACTCCAAGAATTGGAGCTGGTATGGAGGAAGGGTGAGCATGGGGGCCATGGCTTGGAGTCTTGGGAGCTGGGATCCAAAAAGGGACTCACATGAATTCTGGAAGAGTTGCATGTGCATTTCCACGAGGGGAAAGGACTGACGGAAGCTGTATGTCACCAAGATCTTCTTCTTCTGGAAAATTTTGGTGACCTTTGGCAGGGGTGGGAAAAAGACAAAAGGCAGAATTTGGGGTGGGGAATTTCTTTCCACATGGCACCTATTTCTAGTAACCACCCTCCCTTCCCACCCCCACTGACAAATATATACACACAAACACACATCCCCCCAAGTTGGGGAGAACGGAAGCTTGAGGAACAGAATGGGAGAGATGGAAGAAAATGCAAGTTCCTGATGCACAGCAGGGTTTACAGTATTTACAGGAACTAACTGAATGCTGCTCCTTCAAAGAAGCCTGTTCTAATGTCTCACAGAGATTTTTTACCCCCGTTTTCTGAGCTCCAGAGTGCTGATTCAGTACCTTTCCCTTGTCGGGCTCTATGATAGTCCTCTGAGTGTGTGATCGCCCCCTGCTGACCTGGAGGGCAGGAGTCTGGTTTTCAGGTTCTCTCATCCACCCTCACCAGAGCCAGCACTTAAAGGCACTCTCTGCCCAACCTATGTAGGGAGTTAAGGAGTCTTCCTCTCAACAGCTCAAAGTCTTTAGCAAGTACTTGGGCACTCTGGACTCAAGTAACACAGGCTGCAAACACCTTAGGCAGCCTGCAAGCGGCTCTTCACAGCAAATGTTTTGATTTCAGGATGGTTACAGTTCATAGTGATGCAAAGCACATTTTTTGGTCCTTCAGATTGTAAGCATCCTGAGAACAGGGACTGAGTCTGATTCATCTTGGCCTACCCAGTGCCTAGCACAGAGCCAGACATACGCTGGTGTCAGGATATGAGGGATGGCTAAAAGTTGCCTCAGCACCTGTATGGGCCAGGCACTCTTCAGGGCAAGGCTAATACACATATGACCTCTTATTTCATCCTCATGACAACCCTGTGTGGCAGGGATTAGAACCATTTCACAGAGGAGGAAACTAAGGCTCAGAGAGGGCATCGGAGGTGCTTCGTCTAAAGCAGTAATGCTCAACTGGGGGTGATATTGCCCCCCAGAGGACATTGAGCTATGTCTGGTGACATTTCTGGTCAAAGGGTTGCTACTGGCATCTAATAGGTGCTGCTAAACATCCTGAAGTGCACAGGACAGCTCCCCACAACAAAGAATTATCCAGCCCCAAAGGTAAACAGTGCTGAGATTAAGAAACTCTGTTCTGGCTGGGCGCGGTGGCTCATGCCTGTAATCCTAGCACTCTGGGAGGCCAAGGCGGGTGGATTGCTCAAGGTCAGGAGTTCAAAACCAGCCTGAGCAAGAGCGAGACCCCGTCTCTACTATAAATACAAAGAAATTAACTGACCAACTAATATATATAGACAAAATTAACCGGGCATGGTGGCACATGCCTGTAGTCCCAGCTATTCAGAAGGCTGAGGCAGAAGGATTGCTTGAGCCCAGGAGTTGGAGGTTGCTGTGAGCTAGGCTGATGCCACAGCACTCACTCTAGCCTGGGCAACAAAGCGAGACTCTGTCTCAAAAAAAAACGAAAGAAAGAAACTCTGTTCTAAGGGAGAGAAGACCAAGAGAGGGAGACAGGATTACTGTCCACAAATCACTGAAGAGCTGTTTCAGAGCAGAGAGAGAATATTTGTTCTCTGTGATCCCAAGATTTGAGTGAAGATCGGTGGAGCAAACTCATAGGGAAATAGATTCTAGCAGCTAGAGCTGTCTGACAAGGCAAATGGCTGTTCTGGAGGAAGACAGTTTTCTGTCTCTGCAGTCACACAAGCAGGGGACCATCCAGGAAGCTGGTTCTTGCCCTGGAGACCCTGAAAGTCCCTTCTGACCTGCAGAGTCCTAAGAGTCCCATCCCTAAAAGACAAATATCTGGACTGGTAATGAGCACAGTTTTAAGAGTCACTTCAAGCATCTCCATCACTTAGAGGTTTCAGATTGATCCTGGGGGTCACAGGTTCACCTCCCCCGACTCAACTCGCCAAGCCATTGAAGTGGACAGTGACATTCCCTACTACTTCACAGATTGGAAATCCGTCAACTCCCATAGTCCTCATATTTTCTGCCCCTGGGTGGTTGTCACTTCCTCCAAACAGATCCATGAGGAAAAGAAGGGCAGAGAAGGCCTGTGGCTTACCCAAAACTATGCAGATGGCACGGCAGAGCACCTTGCCTGCCACGCTCCATACCAATGTCAACATGGTTCACACTAGACCCAGGGGCCAAGCTTACCATCTCCCTTCCACCTCCTCCCCCACAGTGCCCATACCACAAGGAGATCATTGAAGAGGAAGACCTCCCGCTGATGCAACCCCAGCCTCTGGGGGCGGTTTGGATCTGGCACCTCGTAGAGTTGGCAGCAGCAAACCAGTCGACGGTGAGGAAGAGACAGGACCTAGACAGGCATGAAGAAATAGGTGTTAGAAAGCCAGCCCATCAACTTCAGGCCTCCAGCACCTTAACTTTCAACCATAAGAGGAAGTTTACCTCCGATATGTATGTATCACTCTGATATAAGGAGTATTCTGGAATGCCTTTATTTTTATTGTTTTTAGAGATGGGGTCTTGTTTTGTTGTCCAAGCTAGAGTGCAGTGGCGTCATCATAGCTCGCTGCAACCTCAAATTCCTGGGCTCAAGTGATCCTCCTGCCTCAGCCTCCCAAGTATAAAATGCCTTTCTTGTCCAGCTCTGCATGGCTACATTGCACCCCTCCTTCAAATCCCAATTCCAAAGTTATGTCTTCTATGAAGTCTTCCCTGATTTCCCCAGGTTGAAAATGGCCCCTCCCTCCTTTCTGCTCTCCTAAACTAGACCATAAGGCAGCAGTAATATTTGTGTCTTTGTCTTGCATACATACTGGTCTATGAGTGTCCCAGGACAAAGACCATGTCTTATTCATATCTTCATCTCTGGGGCCCAGTGAAATGCTGGGCTTAGTAGAAAGGATCCGTAAATGTTTGTTAGCTAAGAGACTAAAGTGTGTTCTTGCTTTGGTTCTCAGCTAACCATTAGCTTGGCTCTTCACTTGGGATGGACAGGCAAGACCGGATATAGAAAGGATGCTAATATTTATACAGCACCCACCATGGGCCTTGCACTATGCCAGGTGCTGAATGCTGAATCCACATGGAGCATCTCACTTAATCTGCACTACGATCCCTTGATGAATCCATTACCATCCACTCTGCATTGCAGGTAAGCGGCACCCAGCACTCAGGGAGGTGCATTGACTTACCACTCAGTTGCTGAAGCATACTCAAACTCTGGCCCCTTTGCAGCTTCCCAATGCACTTACTGGTTTCTTGCCAACAATCATGCGCTCCACAGCCTGCACTTGGGACACGTGGTCATCATTGGTCCTCAGTTCACGCCCCTGGATGCGCTGATAGATGCCCACCAGGAGGTCACGGGGGATGTCCTCACCATTGTCAACCCCTGGGTAGGGATATGTCACATAAATATGGGCCACTGATGGTAGGGGATCTCCACAACACCCATCACCCAGGCATGGGCCACACTAACGGTCAGGACTAATGGGTATCCCCAGCCGCTCAGCCAGGATCAGGGCAGGAAAGGTGCCCTTCAACACAACAGCCAATTGCTATCTTCCTCAGGGTGGAGATTTTATCTAAACGACTCAGAACATACTGTAATTAAAACCATCAGATACTATTTTTGGCCTTCCTAATTAGCAAAAATAATTTTAAATGAAATCCAGTGCTAAGCAGAGTGCAGGGAAGTGAGTATGTAACATAATAATTTTGGAGGGTAATTTGGCAAGAGCCTAAATGTTCAGACCCAGTGATTCCTTTTAGGAATCTGCCCTAAAGAATTACTCAGAAATATGTGCAAGCTATGTATAAGAATGTTCACTAAGTGTTATTTATGGGAAAATTTTGAAACAACCTAAGTTCTAACAATAGAGGAACAGTTAAGTAAAGGATAGTATATCCATTTAATAAGATAGTATACAGCTATTAAAAATTTGACATTTAGGCCGGGCGCGGTGGCTCACGCCTGTAATCCTAGCACTCTGGGAGGCCGAGGCGGGCGGATTGCTCAAGGTCAGGAGTTCAAAACCAGCCTGAGCGAGACCCCGTCTCTACCATAAAAATAGAAAAAAATTAATTGGCCAACTAATATATATAATATAAAAATCAGCCGGGCATGGTGGCTCGTGCCTGTAGTCCCAGCTACTCGGGAGGCTGAGGCAGGAGGATCGCTTGAGCCCAGGAGTCTGAGGTTGCTGTGAGCCAGGCTGACGCCACGGCACTCACTCTAGCCTGAAAAAAAAAAAAAAAAATTTGACATTTGCAAAAAGATTTCAATAGCATGAGAAAATTCTTATAGCAAGTGAGAAAAGTAAGATAATAAATTGCGTATATGACATGATCTTAACTATATAAAAACTTGATGGCCGGGTGCGGTGACTCATGCCTGTAATCTTAGCACTCTGGGAGGCCAAGGCAGGCAGATTGCTCGAGGTCAGGAGTTCGAAACCAGCCTGAGCAAGAGCGAGACCCTGTCTCTACTATAAATAGAAAAAAATTAATTGGCCAACTAATATATATAGAAAAATTAGCCGGGCATAGTGGTGCATGCCTGTAGTCCCAGCCACTCGGTAGACTGAGGCAGAAGGATTGCTTGAGCCCAGGAGTTTGAGGTTGCTGTGAGCTAGGCTGATGCCACGGCACTCACTCAAGCCTGGACAACAAAGCGAGACTCTGTCTCAAAAAAATAAATAAAAATAAAAAGTTGCGTATGCATGGAGAAAGAACAAGAATACACCAAAATATTAACTATGATTGCCTCTAGGGGGCAGAATTTTAGGTGATTAAAAGAAACTTTCTAATTTGCCAAAATTTCCAAAATAAGCGTGTATTGCTTTCATTTGTTAGTCCATTTATTTAATAATTGGAGGGGAAGAGATACATGCACACACATACACACACAGAAAGAATGGATGAATGAATAACGGCAGGATTCTAGGAGACAGCTCCGAATGGCCTCTGATCTAATTCCCTCCTCCCATGGCCACCATCCTTCTCTACTCCTGATTGTCTGCTGTGAGAAACCTGCTCACTCTTCTCTCCAAACCTTCTGCTAGGGAAAATGTCTTCTCCTTTGGAAATCCCACACCTCCCCTTTGGACAAGTGCTAAAGGAACACCCTTCATCACACTGCATATTTTTTTTTTACCTTAGCTGCCAGAGGGCTTAAAGCCTATCAACTGTGCAAACCTGGATGGTCAGCCAATTTGTCTTGTTTTTGGTTTGTTCATTTTTTCTTCAACTCTACTTCCCTCTTTCATTTCTGTTTAAATAATCTTAACATCTGTGCTAGTTTTAGTAGGCTGCTCTTTGGTGAGAAGCAGGGCTTGACATCAATAGAATAAACCAAAAAGAAGATCAAAGTGACACCTTTCATCTGGTATTCAAGGCCTTCACATATTGGTTCCAACTGACCCTCTCATCCGATCAGCTCAGCGACCCCATCTTGATTGTTATCTAAACAACTTTACCACATTTTCCTGCCTCTGTGCCTTTGTTATTCTCACTGCTAGGTAAGCCCTCCTCTATCTCTATTGTGTCACCTTATCCATGCCTTCAAGGCCCACCTTAAATTAAAATACTGTTTCCTCAGGGAAGCTAGGTGGAGATGGGTTTTCAGTCCTTTGAGCTCTGACTGCACTTTTGGCCTCTCTGATATCACTGTTCACTTTCTATCTAACTAACTATGTTAATTATCTGGGTACTACAAGTCAGTCTCTCCCACACACGGGGAGCTCTCTCAGAGCAGGGACTATGGCAGAGTCCCCTCCATTGTCCTTGACACCCATCACGGGGTTTGGCACATACTAGGCACTACATGTCAACTGGCTGGCTGGTTGGTTGGTCAAGTGATAAATGAATGCATGAATGGAGGAATAGGTACTTAAAATAATTAAATGAGTCGTTATGGGCATAAAAGAAGGAAAGAAGACGTGGGAAATGGACAAGTGAATGACTGAATGAGTAAATTAGTATAAGCCCTGTAAGAGCCACTAGTTCACAGCTAGAACCCCAGGGCCTAAAAAAGCCTGGTACACAGTAGATGCTCAGTAAATCGGCAAATAGCTATTCAGGTTAATTAATAAGTGAATGCCCTGGGAACATCCAACCTTGGCAGAAAGTGACAGCATTATAGGTTAATTTCCAAGAAACAGATGGGATCTCCCTCACCCTTCCCCACCCCTACGCCCACCCACTTTCCCTTCCCAGGTGAAGGGCAGGAAAAGCTGATAGGGAAGTCTGGTCACCTCTCAGGTTCTTGATGAAGTCGTCTAGTTTCATCTTTCGTTCAGCCTTGACGCTAGGACTGTACATGTCAGTATTGAGGAGGATGATGGCAAAAGCAAGGATAAAGATGGTGTCTGGGTTCCGGAACTGGCGTACAAGGGCTGGGTTACAGACACAGTATCGCTGGCTGTAGGGCAGGAGAGGTCAAAGCCAGACTCAGGCATCAGCAATTTCCACCTACCCAAGCACCCAGTTTGGCACCACCAACCCTTTCCTCCAAAAAAATCCTACTTAGCCCTCTGGGGGGATCTGTTCTCTTCAGCGTTTCCTTAAGACTAGCACATAAAAGTCACAATCACTACCTTTTACAGAGCTTTGCCAGGGAATTTATATACATTGTCTCATGTAATCCTATCACAATTCTGCAAGGCAACTATTAGCAATCCATTTACAGATGAAGTGACTGAGGCTCAAAGTGGTAAGGTAACTTGTCCAAGGTTAACAGACCTGGTAAATAGTGAAGCCAGGATGAAAACCCAGATCTTTCTGACTGCAAAGCAAATCCTTCCCCCATTATGGGAAAGAAGTTCTTAGCAACTCCTGTTTCTCCTCTAAGTGCTCCAAAGTGGTCTGTCTAATCCCCAAAGCATTTATAGTAGAATATAATGGTTCAGGGCATGGATAGATTAGACGCACTTGAGTTCAAATCCTAGTTCTACCACTTACTCACTGTATGACTCTAGGCAAGTTATTTACTCTCTCTAAACTTCAGATTTCTCATCTGCAAAATGGGAACAATAGAAGCATCTACCTCATAGGGTGCTTGTGAGTATTTGAAATAATTATGTAAATTTTCCAGCCCAGCACCTGATCCTTAGTGAGTGCTCCATGAATGTTAGCTGTTAGTGTTGATGTTGTTGTCACTTATTGAATGCCCATGTCCCAGATGTTAAGCTAGATACTTTATGTGCACCACATCTGATCCTTACAACTGCCTTGCAAGATAGGATTTATCATTTCTGTTTTATGGTGAGGAAAGTAAGAGGCTCAGAGAAGTTCCTTATGGACACATACTACAGTGCTGCCCAAAGTGGGGAGGGGCAGCTTTAGGAGTGGGAAGCAGGCACACCTGAAGGCTTCGATGAGTCGCTCCACTTTCTGGGCCTCACCCTGAACCCGGATGTGGGATTGGAACTTCCGAAGTGCATCATCCAAATCCATGGAAGAGAAGTCCATCTCATCCACCACACAGCTGAGGAGCAAAGAAGGGGGTGTGGCACTCTCAATTCCTCTGCAGAAAACCCCTGACCCACCCGGACCTGCTCAAATGGACCAACACCCCCACTGACAGACTTCCAAAATCAGGACCTGTGGAACAAGTACACATTAGGACAGAAATTCCTGAAATTGAATCTACCCTAGAAAATTAAGACACATGGTCACTGAGGGTCCTTTTCATCAACCCACTCATTTCAGAGATGGGAAAACTGAGGCCCAAAGCAGGCCATAGGACAAGCATGTCTTGCCCAGGGCTACCCAGTAGACTTTAGGAATAGGGCCAACAGAGATGAGATCCTTTTGGGGCAGAAGGGTATGGGAGCAGGAAGGTCTATTCATTCTGTTTTGAAAAGTTTATCTGAGCCAAAAGGATAGGCTGCCCCCTTCCCCCCTCTTGCTCCCCTTTTCCAAGAATCCCTGGCCCAGCCTTTCCCGTCCTGGGGTCCTCACTCCAACACATCTCTGTTGAACTGCTTCTGCCGGTTCCCCAGGAATTCCCCTATCATCTGGCGGCTGAGGCCTTTCCGCTCCAGGATGAAGTGAGCCACTCCCACCGGTGTGTCTGACAGGAAGCCCCGCTCGATCAGATACTGGATACCCTTCTCTGGCTTCCTGCAGAAAGAGGGGAGGGAGATGAGATAACTGTCCTCTTGGAATTATGCTCTCTGTCCCATTTCTTAAACTAATTTTGGGCCCAATTAACTGTGGCCTCAGAGAGCCAGGGAAGTGGAATATATAATTTGGTCTAATCCCTCATGGTACAGATGAGAAAACTCAGATCCAGGGAGAAGTCAATTGCTCATTTCACAGAGCTTTATAATTCTAAGGTATCCTCAACCCAACTTCGTCCTTCACTGGAGCCACACCATAACTGAAAGAAAATCAGTATCTAATGAGAGCCTGCACTATGCCAGGAGTTTGTTTGTTTGTTTGTTTGTTTGTTTTTTGAGACAGGGTCTCACTCTGTCACTCAGGCTAGAGTGATATGGCGTCATCATAGTTCACTATAACCTCTAACTCCTAGGCTCAAGTGATTCTCCTGCCTCAGCCTCTGGAGTAGTTGGGACTGCAGGCATGCACTACCACATCCAGCTAATTTTTCTATTTTATGTAGAGACGGGGTCTCGCTCTTGCTCAGGCTGGTCTCAAACTCTTGGCCATAAGCGATCCTCCCATCTCGGCCTCCCAGAGTGCTAGGATTACAGGCGTGAGCCACCGTGCCCAGCCAAGGAGCTCTGATATTCTCAGTAGGCACCTAAGAGCAGTGAGAGAAGCCCTGAGCACCTTCTCTCTGAGTCACAGAATCTCAGAGTAGGGAAGAAGTTACGAAGATACTTTGTTCCACATTCCACATCCTACCCAGGCAGATATTGCCCAGTCTCTGTGAGTGCTTCTATAGACAAGGTGCTCCCTAGATTTCCAGAGAGCTGGGTCAAAATCTGGGTGAGTACTATGCCATATTCAGAAGCCCAGAACCTTAGGACCCCGTGAGGCTAAAATTTGGAAGAGACTTTGGTGCTATAGGAGTCTCAAATCCACCCCAGTTCCATGACTTTGGGCAATACTTTACTTCTGCGGCCTCAGTTCCCTATCTATAAAATAGGGGAGCTACTAGCTATCTTGCTGAGTTATTATAAGAATTAAATATAGGTGGCAGTGTTTAATAGGCTATGAAGATGTAAGGCATTACAGCTACTGCCTTCTGTTACATCTAATGTTTTCTAATTATTTTCTAATCAAATGTCACACTCCCACCCCACTCCTAAGCAATTGGCATAGACCAGGCAAGTAGAAAGAGCTAGGGTCATGATCACTGTAGTCCAGCACACCACCCTGCCCCCCAACACCTCACACATACACATTCTGGTAGTTGATAGATGGAAAAACTGAAGCCTAAGGAAAGAACGCAACTTGCCACGCACGGGCTACACAGTGAGTCTGGCCACAGGCAGACTGGTGGTCCAGGTCTCCTGTTTCTAAGATCAGGGCTCTATATACACCATATCGCCTCTCCTTTAAAAAGGGGAGTAAGGGGAGACAAGGTTCAGAAACCACTTAGTGGGGGCATCTCACCCAAGATCACATAGCCAGTCAGAGGCAGTACTAGGACCCAAACCCAGATATTTGGGGAGTCTCCAGTCTGCCACCCTATTGTCAATCCTCTTCCCTGAACAGCCAGAGAGAAACACCACAAAAAGAGAGGATGGCAGAACAAGGATCACTGCTTGGAGTTCAATCCGAGGCACCAAGGTGCCGGCAGCTAGGTAGTAAGGGTCGGGAGGCTAGCTTGGGGAGCACATACTTATTGAAGAGGTTGAGGCCGATTCTGTAGTGCCGCCTCTGTACCACATCATTGTTGAAGGCTGGTGAGTCCCAGCTGTGCCGTGTCTCCCGCTGGTAAGTCTGCTTGCACAGGCCAGTGGCTGGAGGCTCTCTCAGGCTGTCCCGAGAAGAGGAGCCGGAGCTGCAGTTGATGGTCTCATTGGAATTGCTGGAGCTCTCGAGGCTCTCATTATCTCCACCATCAGAGTTCTCGCCTGCTGCCTCGCACTTCCCCAACCTCCGAGCCCCAGCTACACCACTGGGCCCAGTGCCACTGTTGGGGGCTGGTGGCAGGGGCCCTGGTGGGGCTGGGGCTGGGCCCTCAGGGGCTGGGTAGTGGCGGTGTGGGATCGGGGCCCTGCCTGGTGGCCCCTTGTGCTTCAGGGTCCCATGGGGGCTGCAACCATCAGCCTCATACACCAGCTGGCGGTGGACAGAGCCGCGATCTGAGCGGTCACTCAGGTCCACAGAGCTGTCACTAGGAGGCTCAATGGTAAGCAGGGGAAGGTGGGCAGCCCGCAGCCGGAAATCCCGGCACTCTAAGCACCCAGGACCCCTGCGAGTGCCTTCCTCACGGCTACCATCTTCCCGGGTCCCTGGTGGCACTGGTGGAGGAACTGGTGGGAGGGGGGCTGGTGCCCAGAACTCAGGCCGGCCCTGGGGTGGGGGCTCTGTGCTGGGCAGTCGCTCAGGGGATGGCGGGGGAACTGGGTCATCCAGGTAGAGGGGAAGATCACTGAAGGATGTGGCCGAGCTGTCCTCTTGCTGTTCTTTTGACTCCCGTTTCTCTAGTTGGGCTGACCCTGGCTCTTCAGACATGGGCCCTGATGGGTGGCAGTTCAGGGCCTCGTCGATGGATTCAGCCAGAGACTTCACCTACACAGGGCAAGGGGAGAAGGGAAAGGGAGAGAAAAGAAGGAAAGATGAAGGGAAGAACAGTGGAAGGGTGGGAATGAGGGAGGGAGGGAGGGAAGGAAAAAGGGGGAATCTTCTTGGTGGGTCAGCCAAGAAGGTGGACTCCCCCGCCCCTGACTGGCTCTCTCTGCCTTCTATAAAATAACTCCCAGGGAGCCATTGTGAGCTCACAGGAGCTGGGACTAATGCCCTTAAGTTTCCTTCTCAGGCACCCCAGTAGCTCCTTTGTGTCCATATAGACTCAAGTCAAACGCTATCTCCTTCCTGATTCAAGCCACATTCCTGCCTCTGGCGCTACCCAGGGCAAACCCAAATCCCAGCTTCCTCTGTGGGAATTATCTCTTAGGAAATCCCTAATATTTAACCTTGAGAATCTGGACCACGTCTGGTAACTGTCTCCCTGTGGTATCCAGCCTCCAAACTATCCCCTAATGATCCCCTACCTCCTATAATCACACACTGGGGTACCACATTGTACCAGAGTTGGTCGGTGTGACCAACAGCAAATGGCAGAAGTGAAGGTATGTCACCTCCGAGATTAGGTTGGAAAAGACTGCAGCATCCATCTTGGGTGCTCTAGCTCTCGATTCTCTCTCTCCCTCAGGCCCCTCAGCCTGGCATAAGCCACATCATGAGCAGTCCTATGGAGAGGCCCACAAGGTGAGGAACTGAATCCTCTTGCCAACAGCCAAGTGAGTGAGCTTGGAAGCATACCATCAGCCCAATCTAGTCCTCAGAGATTGAGGTCCCACCGTACAGCTTGACCGCAGCTTCCGAGAGGCCCAGAGCCAGAACTACCCCGCCAAGCTATTCCCAGCTCCCTGGCCCTCAGAAGCTGTATAATAAATGTTTGTTGTTTAAGCTCAGTCTCTCAGGTCAATTTTAAGCTACTGCATTTTGGGGTAGTTTGTTATGCAGCAATAGAGAACAAATACACTTCCCTGTCAGATTTGTACAGCACTGAGAGCTGGGACCAGACCTGGCTCCTCTATCTCTCCCACCAGACCATGATCTTCTATTCCCTATTCCTCCCTTGAGGGATGAGTCCAGGCCTGGTTTCTTTATTTTTAGTTCAGCTCGACACATCTCTTGACATGGAAGATACGTTCAATTAAATCTTTGTTGTATGAATGAATGGATGAATGATATAGATCTTCCCTTCAATGCTTCTTTCCTTCCTTCTACCTCTTCACCAGCTCAAAGGAAGCGCATACAGGCTGACGGCAGTGCCAAATCACAGAAGTTAGAGTAGAGTGATTTCCTTTCTTATAAAGCTCTATTCATTCATTCAACAATTTCTGCTGTCTTTTTTTTTTTTTTTTTTTTGTCTTTTCTTGAGACAGGGTCTTGCTCTGTCATCTGGGCTGGAATGCAGTGGCCTCATCATAGCTCACTGCAAACTCCTGGGCTCAAGCAATCTTCTTACGTCAGCCTCCTGAGTAGCTGGGATTATAGGCACACATCACAAAGCCCAGCTAATTTTTCTATTTTTGTTAGAGATAGGGTCTCGCTCTTGCTCAGGCTGGTCTCAAACTCCTGACCTCAAGTAATCCTCCTGCCTTAGCCTCTTATCATTCAGCAGTTTCAACCAAGTACCTCCTTAGTTTTATGAAGAAAACTAACACATACTTAGTAGCTACCATGTACTAGGTGCTTTCATATATATTACCTAGTTGAACAGACTCTTCAAAACAGCTCTAAAAAGGTTTTCTCTCCATTTTATTGGTCATATTTCAATCTGGTTAAACAGCTTGCCCAAGGCCACACAGGTGGGAAATGGCAGAACTGGGAGTCACATGTAGGCAGGTATGCTGACACACCCCAAACCTGAAGTGATCTCCCACCACCCTTACTGTATTATATCCCCACCCTTCCATGCATTTGCTGATGCAATGCTTATGCAAGCAACACCTCCCAACTATTTCTAACCTGCTAAATCTTCTCTGTCTAGTAAGGTCCGCCTCCAATGCTGTTTTCTCAAAGAAGCCTTTTCTGATCCTCCCAGAAGAAAGTTTCCTCTCCCTCCTCTGGGTTCCCACAGTACTATGCATGATCCTTTCCTATGACTCTACTTCAGGAGAGCACACTCTACTTCAGGAGATAGGAATGCACACATATGCTTGCCATTTCCTATGGGACTGGGAGATCCTTTTGAATAAGGACCAGGGCCAGTTCCTTGGCCTCAGTCTCCTCCTCTGTATCATGAGGATAATAATCCTTGTCTCACAGGTCTGGTATGAGGCATACACAGCCCTGGTACATAAGAGCTTGTTACCTGCTAGTTAAGCCTTTATTTGACAGTAGATCAAGTTCCAAATAGTGAGAACTTTTATTTTCTTATTTGTTCTCTACATCCATTTTTTAACAATATAATTTTTCATCTCTCCAGTTCTTTTTCATCATTCTTACAGTCCCAACTCAGATGGTAACTATTCGTTGTTATTAAATGCCTGTCGTACAACTTCCTTCAGTTTGCAATACAGATAAAAAGCAGCAGGGGTAGCCAGAGCATGGAGATGGGGGAAAAAAGCCCTTTTCAGGGATCCTGACCTGTTTGGAGAAGGAGTCCTCAAGCTCTGTGATGTCATTAGAAAACTCTCCAGATGTGGTGACAGAGCTTCCACCACCATCGATGCCCCCACCACAGGAACCTCCATATGGGAGCCCCCGTTCAAGCCGGTGGCTCCGGGCACCAGCCATGGCACCCTCGTCCAGCGAGGCAGGCTTGCCCTCGAAGTACGCGGGGTTCTGTGCCTTCTCATACTCCTCAAAGGAGAACTGCATCCGCATGTTGGACAGGATGATACGGCGGGACATGCGGCTCTCTGAAGCTGAGCTGCGTAGCCGCTCGAAGTTCTTGTTCATGCGGTACTGGCGGAAGGCTGTCTGGATGGTTCTGGCAGCCCTGCGGCTCAGGAAGGAGCCCCCATACTTCCTTTCCAGCATTTCCACCTGGCAGGGGAGGGTCGAGGGGAACAAGGTCAGAAAGTCACTACAGCCTCATCGCCCTGGGCACTCAACCACATCACCCCCACTGTAGTTACAGCTAACTGCCTACTGTCACCTGAATGTGCCAGGCTGTGTGCTCAGTGTTCCCAGTTGAATCTCAGGTAGCACTGGTCATATGGGATTGGATTATGTTTTGTTTGTTTGTTTGTTTGTTTTTATTTACAAGAAGTACATGTTGATTATTAAAAAACAGCTAGAGAATACAGAGAAGCCAAAAAAGGAAAGAAAGACAGAAATGGAGAGCAAGAAGGACTGAAGAGAGAATGAGAGAGGAGGACGAGGGGGAGAGAGAAGGAAGGAAGGAAGGAAGGAAGGAAGGAAGGAAGGAAGGGAGGAAGGAAGGGAGGGAGGGAGGGTGGGAGGAAGGGAGGAACCAAAGGCAAGGATGGAGGGAGGGAAGGAGAGAGGGATGGAGGGAGGAAGGAAGGAGGAAGGGAGGAACCAAAGGCAAGGATGGAGGGAGGGAAGGAGAGAGGGATGGAGGGAGGAAGGAAGGAATGGAGGGAGGGAGAAAGGAAGGAAGGGAGGGAGGGAGGGTGGGAGGGAAGGAAAGAGGGAGGGAACAAGGATGGCAGGAAGGAAGGGATGGAGGGAGGGAGAGAGAGAGGGAGGAAGGAAGAAGGGAAGGAAGGTTGGCTCACCTAATTTCCAAATACCTAGGCATAAGCACAATTAACATTTTGGTATATGTTCTTTCAAGTTTTTTTTCTTATAGGTAGTATTTCATCCTCCCTTCTCCCTCTTTTTTAAGCTACAAAATGTTCTATGTGACACTGTTCTGAAATTGTCAACTGGTATGTGTGTGCTTCTGCATTAGACTGAGCTTTCTGAGGACCAGGTCCAGGTCTCATTCATGTTTACCTCACCAGGACCTGGGCAGAGGGCTCAGTACCTGTCTTGTGGGTGAATAAAAGACACAGTGGAGGAGTGACGAATGAGTGTGTCTCCAGTGGGTCACAGGTCCCGGGGCTAGGCCTCTCCAATTCCAGTCTCCTCAGCCCTCCCTGGATACCACCCTCAAGCACCATATCCCAACTGTGCCCTCCCCTGGTACTCTCTTGCATCCCCGCTCCCATTCCCAAGCGCCTTCTCTGCACCTTCTTGTCTTGCAGGTCTGTGGAGAGTTCGTAGCTGTCAGACAGGGCCTTGGAGCGCTTTATCTCCTCCTCCTCCTGCTTCCTCAGGGCCACACTGGCTGGCTGCAGGCGTGCCCGCTGGGCCCAGGGAAGGCCCACCCCAGCTGGGGGGCCCCCCATGTGGCTGCTGGTGGGGGGCAGCTGGCTCAGCCGGTAGGGGGGTTGGCTCCCAGGACTATCAACCGCTGTGCTCAGGTCACTGCCTGGGACATCACCCTCCACACTGTGGGGATGAGATAAGATGAGCCAGGACTTGGGAAGCGGACAGGGGCCTGCTGGGCCAGACTGAGGGCGCGGGGACCAGATCCCTGCCCCCAATGCCATCCACCCAGCTTCCTCATAGATATTGGGACCCAACACTGGGTCCTACTCACCCTCACAGCCTGGTCCCCTAACAGCCTTCTCCCCAGGCCGCTCTCTTCCCAGCCCTATCCCCTCAAGCCCCTTTTTCTAACAGTCCTGTTCCCTAACAGCTCTATCCCCAAATCCACCTTCCTCTAAGGGACCACCTCCCTCACAGCTGACCAATCCCCTTCCAGGCCTGCTGCCCTGCCCAACACAGTGTGCAGTGCTCTCCCTCCTGCTCTGATCCTCCCCAGTACCACCCCTTGAAGTGCCACCTCCTCCCAGCCCAGTCCCCAACTGCCTGAGACCCACCCCTACATCCGGCCCAGCCCTACATCCAGCCCACTCAGGCTCTGCCCTCTCCTGCCCAGCCCAGCCCCTGCAGCCCCGCCCCTGGCCCCAGCGCTGGATCTGGGCCTGGCCAGTTCCCAGGGTTCCCTGGCTGCCAGGGCAGGGCGAGCAGAGACGGTGGGAGGCACCTCCCATGCAGCATCCTCACAGGTAAAGAGCTGCCCTTCGGGGCAGCTTCCTTTTTCTCCTCATGGCCCCCTCTGCTCAGCTGGGGAGGGGGACAGGGAGGTCTTCAAGCTGAAGAGTGGTGGGAACTGGGCCCCAGTCTTGCCTGCTCTGGCTACCCAAAGCTGTTGTTCCGCCAGACCTGCTCCCATGGTGCCATGGCAACCAGGCTGCCAGGGAACCCAGGTGGCAATAGAGCCCAGGCGCCCTGAGCTGAGCCTGCAGGGTGAAGAGCTAAAGAGGTGGGGAGAACTGGGGAGGGGTCAGGAGGGGAAGAACAGACAGGCGAGGCTGGAGGAGGTTGTGGGTGGAATGGGTGTGGCTGAGGCCCAGTGAATGGTCTGGTTTGGGGAGGACACAAGGTTCAGGGGCTCTTGGCTGGTGAAAGGGTTAAGGGGCTACCCCCAGCCCCTACTTGGCAGAGGCCAGGGTGCAGGGCAGAGGCAAGCTGGAGTGGGCATGGGGGGCTCCCTACTAGTGCAAGAGCTTGAGCTGCAACAGGCCTGCCAGGCTTGCAGCAGAGCACTTTGCACTGGGGGCTGGATGTGGTGGGGAGGCTGCACCCACGAGGCCAGGTCCTGGGCTGCAGCACTGTGGAGCTCAGCTCTGCCTTCGGGGGAGCTCCCACCCACTGCTCACCCTCCAGCCTCCCAAGTGTTAGTCTCCAACACTGCCAGGAGCAAAGGGGAAACAGCCTAGGGGCTCTAAATTCTCTCTCCTCTTATGCCTTGGGGGCCCCTAACATTACCCTCCAGGAATTAGAGCCAGCCGAGCCCACAACCAGCATCTAATATGCTCCTCTTCTCCCCTTCAGAACTACAGGATCTTGCCGCCAATTTCTCAAACTTCTCCTCCCACCACACAGCTCAAGCTTAGTTTTTATCAACTGTCCCCATTATTCATGAACCATCTATAGAGCCCACTGCCCACAAAAGACAGCCAATGTTCTTTTATTCTGGCATTTGAATTCTCTCCAAGATACAATAGCTAATACTAATAGAGTATTTAGCCCATTTAGGCACCATTCTTACCATGTCACACTTAATAACTTGTTTACTCTTTAAAACAACCCTATGAGGTAGGGATTATTTATCCTCATTTCACATATAAAGAAACTGAGCCCCGGAGACATTAAGTAACATATCTATGATCACAGAGCTACTAATGACAGAGCCAGGATTCAAATCCAGGCAGTCTGACTCGAGAGCCCACACACTCTTAAACATCAAACCATATTGCAGGGTTGGCTGCCAGCCCCCTACTCCATCCACCCATCCCTCTAGCCTGGCCCAGATCCTGTTTCTCCCAAATGCTCCTCTGCCTCCCACCTCCAAAACTGCTCATACAGTACCTTCCACTTGAAATGCAATCCCCATCATCTCCACCACCTGCAATCTGAGAAATCCCCCCACATCCTAGTTCCGTCAAGAGTCAGGTCATATGCCACCACTAAGAAGCCCTCCTGAATCCCGCCTCCAGCCAGAAATTATTGCTGATCCTGTTCTGAGCTCCCACACACAGCACATGTTTGTCCCTTTTATGGCACAGGTTAGCTTTGGCAAAGCATGACAGCTATTTGTGTTCATGTCTCCCAGAATCCCAGCACAGGAAGAGAATTTGGTAATCTCCTAGCTAACACAAAGCACAGGGCCTGGAACAGAGTAGGAGCTCAATAAAAGCTGTTGTTGGGAGGGAGTCAATGAGTGCGTGGGTGGCTGCTCTAATAAATACTCTCTCCTGAACTTCTACAGCTTCCCATTTCCTTTTCCAACCCCTTCCCCATCCTGTAGCCAGAGAAAGCTTCCAAAAGTACAAATCTGACCATTTTGCTCCCGCTAAAAGCTTTCCACAGTTCCCCATACCTCACTCAATCAACAAACAATAGCTAAGCACCTTCTATGTGCCAGGCACAGTGCTGGGTGCTGGAAATAGAATAGTGAGCAAGATGCACAGGAATATTCCCTCGGGGAGGTGACATGCTAGTGGAGAAAGCAAACTATAAAGAAAGAAACACATAAATACATGCTATCATTTCAGGCAGGAATATGTGCTAGGAAGGAAAATAAAGCAGAATGCTAAAAGGTGCTGTTTGAGATGTGGTGGTTAGGGAAGGCCATTCTGGAGGAATGGCTTGTATAAACAGAGCCCTGATGGAGCTGAAGGAGTGAGCTATGTGGCTATCTGAGCATGAGCAGTCCAGAGAACAGGGATAGCCAGTGCAAAGGCCCTGCGGTAGAACTGTTCCTGGCATGTCTGAAGAATAGTGAAGAGGCCAGTGTAGCTGGAGCAGAGTGAATGAAGGGAGAGTGATGGGAGATAAGATCAGAGAGGTAATGGGGGCTAAATCAAAAAGGGCACTGAGCCTGCAATAAAGACTTTGGCTTTTTCTCTGATTGAGATGAGCAGGAGGGACACGACCTAACTTGGGTTTTATGAGAATCATCATAGGGTAACCTCCTACTTCCTCACCGTGGCTCTGCATGGTTCTCCTGACCTGACCCCTGCTTCATATGGTCTCTGCCCCATTACCCCAACCTGGCTGTTCCCCTTTCTGCATTTAGCTCAGGTGTGCCCTTCACGCCTGCCTGCGTCCTCCACACAGCCTAGCATACAAGCACCTCCTTGTGAGCTGCTGTAGGGCCCTGTAGCCACCTCTATCCCTAGGACAAGGGTATTAGTTAGTTCACTGAATCCTTGCAACTTATTGAGGCAGGCACCATTAGCTCCATTTTATAGATGAAGATACTGAGGCTCGGAAAGGTGATGTAATCTTGCTTAAGGTGACACAGCTATTAAGTGAGAAAGCTAGGATGTAAACCCAGGGCCCAGGCTGTCTTTTCATGACATCTTGTTACCTCTCCCCACTCCTGGCTTCGTGCTACCCCTGGCTCTGCACTCTAGCAATTCTCCCCTTGAGAGCTCACTCCCTATTTTGGTTGCAAAGGGAACAGTGTGGCAGGGAGGTCAGGCTGTCAGCGCAGCCTCCCAGGAGAGAGCCTGGCAAAAAAGGAGAGTGCCTCAGGGTGTTGCTTCTGACATCATATGCACTGCTGAAGAAATGGCATGTGGGGATGTGGAATCCCTCAAGTCAGAGCCCCCAGAACACTTGGGGATATGCTGATCACATGGAAAAACCCTCTTCTTCTCTTTCTCATGCACACATACACATGCAAACACATACACATACACAGAGAACCTGTTGTAGAGTAAGACGCTGGGCAGGCCAAGGTTCAGGTTCTCACTGCCATTTACCAGCTGTTTGAGCCTGGACATGTCACTTTCCCCTTCTGCCCCTCACTTTCTCATCTGTGCAGGGCTCAAGCAAAGTCAACTCCTCTTTGGATTCCTGGACTTCAGGAAGGGCCTGGAAGACCCCTCTCTCTCTGGACCCCTCCTGGCCAGGAGCAAAGCATGCGCGCGCGCACACACACACACACAGAGGTATAAAAACACAGACATATCCAAGGCTGACAAACCTAGATACAAAAACACACATCCATAAACACATGAAAACAGACATAATTACATGCAGATGTGCACATATACAGACACAACCACACACAGACACACACAGGCACTGTGCACTGTCTCCTGGGCTATTCTGTGGGGGAAATTGGAGAGCATCCTCTACAGAGGGGGAAATAAGCCATGTTACACAAATAACTGCAGTACAAAGCAGAAAGTTATCAGGGCTGGGGAACAGGAAGTGCTGGGGGAGTGCAGGAGAGAGATCCCTTCTGTTTGGGGGTGGCTGAGCAGAATAAAAATAAACTCGCACTTACTGTGCACCCTCCCTGTGTCAGGCATTTTCCACACATTTAATCTGCATGGCAAGCATGAGGGGAGAAATAGGATTCCTATTTTATAGATGAAGAAAAAGGATCCAAGCAGGAAAGTCACTGCCAAAAGTCCCTGGGCTAGCAAGTGGCAGAACAGGGATTCAAACCCCAAAGCCTGTGCTAGTTCCTTTGCTGCCTTGAAGGCTTCCTGGGACAGGAAGCTTGTGGACTGGGCCTTGCCCAGTAGGAGCTAGTAGAGACGAGGAGTGAGGGAACCTTGTGAGCCACATCACTAAGGTGGGGAGAAACAGTGTAGGACATTCCACAGGGATTTGGGGCTGGCCTGCCCATGCTGGGGACACTGACGCTCCCCAAATGCTGCTCCTAATGGAAGGTCATCTCTCCCTCGTTCCCTATATTGGCACTGCCTGGAGCCAGGCAGCCAGCAGGGAATGGGATCAGGATGCAGTTGCCATGGAAATGCATGGGAAGTGTTGCCATGGATACCATATGATGAGGGCAAGAGGAAACCAGGGATGCCTAAGACTATCCCCATGACAACTTAGGCTAGAGGGTGGGGGGA